TTGAAATTTGTCATGCTCCAATCAGCACGAGATACTAGATCTGTAATGCTGCTAAACTAGCTCAAACAGCACTACACTACGCGGACAAACTTGTCATGCCAAACAACCAAGGCTGGCTGATTTGTCTAGCAGATTCACCATCCTGACTCTGGTGTGGGTACGTTTTTACTCAGGATATGCAGATTCGGGGCCAGGTGCCAGGTGCCCTGATCATACAACACCGCGTCGGGCTATTGCAAGGAAAAGTCCCCCCTCCTGATATTGAAACCGCATCCGTCGGAAAATTTGCGATGCAGATTTGTGGCCACACGCCAAGCCTGTCTTGCAGGAAACCAAGCCCAGGCTGTCCGCCATGTTATGCAGGCGCTTTGTAATGCTGTAAGGACTACAGGGCAGCCGCCTACAATGCTAGGCGCCTACACCACAAGACGCCTACCTAGGCTTGCGACCTGCGTGCAGTCCTAGCACTGCAAGACAAATCTGATTTCTGTATGCAAATCCAGCATCACAGATTTCCTTTTTGATATGGGGAGGGGGGATTTTTCCTTTTGATACGGGCAGCGACAGGGGAGTATCTTCCGGGTGGTCGAAAAAGTCCACGTCTTCGCAGTAGCAAAGAGTATGGATTGGAAAGAGTATGAATCGCACTCGTAGTAACAGCAGCCGCAATCTACTGCGCATGACAGAGCTGCCTTCTTAGGCAATTCACCATGACAAAGTCCATTTGTCATGCGGAGAAAATTTGATGTCATGCAATTACTACTAACACGATAGTACTTTTGCAGTTCATAAAGCACCCGGTGAAAGGAGTCCCCTCGCCAAGTGCAAGATCCGGTGCCGGTCCATTCTCCGTTGCCCTTTGACTCGTCAAAAAAATTTTCCGACGCCGCGTTCAGCTGGTCATACAGCCCGCAGGTGAGCTTGCTCCCAATAGTAGGTGTAGGCATCGTATCGTCGGCTTGGCACTCAAAGTCGCGATCGGCCAGCACCTGCCGCATCCTACGAGAAAAGTGTTTCACTGTAAGGATTCTGCAAGTTTTGCATCACAAGTTTGCTTTACATAACAACGGAAATTTGCCATGCGGGGTTGCTAAGGGAAATAAACACGGCTAGAAATCCATTGTCTTGCATGTGTACTAGCATGACAGCACACATCTCTGCGATCCATTTTCTGCATCACAAGTTT